TATAAGTTCCTAGAAATCTCAAATATTTTTGTCCTTGTTTTCAGAAATCGCAGATCTCTCCAATCTAATCATGCAATGCAGACATGCTATCTATCCATCAATACTTGATGAAAATCTTCCACTTCAAACCAGGAGGTCTCGAAGAAAACCCATGGGTTTCCGGATAAGGTCTGCACGAGTGATACATGATCATAGTCAATGCATGTTTCAGCGACAAGGACGCACAACAGGAACAATACTTCCCATTCCGACGAGATGAACACCCAATCCAACACATTGTGGACCGGGAAAACTGTTTATTGGTCTGTGTGGATCTAGCCCACTTCTGGGCACTTTCGAAGTGCCATAGGTGTCATCACATCATTAAAATCTGAACCCGCGACCAATTAAGGCTAGAGTTGTTCTTGTCCACTCCTGATCAGATTCAAATTAAAATTGCCACCACCAATAGGAATTAAGAAAGTCGTGGATGCCAACACCTTGGCATGAATTTCACCCAAGAATCAGGTGATCGATTGTGATCGGTTGGCCTGTAGACCACGATAATTTACCAAATTAGGTGAGAGACGCGATTCCCAACCTTAGCGCTCACGAAAGACTGGCTTGCATCCACGCAGGCACATCGTAGCAATCTCTCGAGAGCATTATCTCATACTTTACATTGTGGATTTTTAGGTTTAAGGCCCCTAATAAAAAGGTCTCTGCTATATCATAGTGGTATAACCACACCTCGTGATGTAACACTCTTATGCAAACTTGGTTTTTGACCCTTTCCCGTTGATTGCTAAAAGAAGTGCCTAGAATTCTTAAATCTTTTTGTCTTCGTTTTCAGAAATCTGAGATATTTCCAATCTAATCATGCAATGCAGATATGCAGTCTATTCATCCGTTTCATGATCTAAGATCACCGTGCCCTCCCCGTGGAATCGACACGCACGAATTTCAGATTTGACCTTGGCAGGGGAAGGTACGGGCGGGATCTGCACGTCCCCTCCCGCCCCTCCTACAGCTGTCCATTGCGCCGCCCACTGCCCATAGACAGCACAAACACCCACAGCTCCCAACTTCGTTGGGCCCGAATGCTTAAAGCACATACTCCGAATTACGAAGCCATACTAGCAACAGTTAAGCAGGCTAAGTGTACTGTGTACCATATAGCCATAAAAAAACTCTTGCGTGTTCTACGTACGTACCTCCTCTCTCTTCACGGGTGAGCAGTACAGCTCGCGTTCGTCCAACTTAGCCAACACATGCGGCTCGATCGGCCTCTCCACTGTTTGTCCGGATTACCTGCAATACAAACAACTCCCTCCTTTCTTCCTCACCATGCCAGCCGCGCCAGCGCTAGAGACTAGGAGATAAGCCAAGCTAGCTACCTTCCGGCCATCTCCACTCCACTGCCCTTCTTCTTCTTCTTCTTCTTCCATGACAATGGGTTCCTCCAGAGGCATCCGCTTCCGCAGCCTTGTCCTGCTCCTCGTCGCGTACCTCGGAGGCATGCGCGCTCGGGAGGCGCCGCTGCCGCTGCCGTCTGCCAGGAGCGCGGGGGTTAACAACAGGCGGGCGCCGGAACGGCACGGGCTGTCGCTGGACTTCTACGGCAAGACGTGCCCCGCGGTCGACCACATCGTCGCCAACGTCACCGCCGAGCGGTTCCGCGACCACCCGGCCACCGGGCCCGCCGTGCTCCGCCTCTTCCACCACGACTGCTTCGTGGAGGTGCGTAAGCAAAGCTCCAACGCACTACATTGCATTTGCATACACGCTGATCAAACGTGACGAACGTCACAGGGCTGCGACGCGTCCATACTGATCGCGCCGGCAGGCAAGGCGGCAGGGGAGAAGGTGGAGAGGGACATGGAGGAGAACAGGAACCTGCCGCAGTACGGGTTCGACACGGTGGAGATGGCCAAGGCCGCCGTGGAGAGCAAGTGCCCCGGCGTCGTCAGCTGCGCCGACATCCTCGCCCTCGCCGCCCGAGACGCCGTGCAGCTGGTACGCACAAATGCTAAACCCCCTCCCGCCATCATCATCTTCTTCCTCGGAAAAGGTGTTTCCGTTCACGCGAAAATCCACAAAGCAACTGTGCAAGGACAGTAGGTTTGCACGGAGCACGCTGGGACAGTAAAAAGAGTCGCGATCGCGTACCCGGCGTTGCAAAACTCCCAACCGTCGCATGCAGGGACCATAACGAGCGGCGCGACCTGCTCTGCGACTGGGTAAAGGCGCGCCCGGCCGCCGTGGCCGCGCCGGTGGGCGGCACGTGACGCGCGCGAGCGTCCTCAGGAGCAGGGCGGCTTAGTCGAGTGCACTATGATTATCCTTTCACGTACGTACGGTGCGCACGGTAAAACAAATGAGACAGGTTCTGCTTTTTGTTTCGCCCTATCGATTTGTAAATAGTAGGTGCTGCAGTTAGATTGTTGCTAGTGCTGCTGCTAGCTAATTGTTGTGGTAGGTTTTTTAGCCAGTGACTGACACGGAAACCACCGCGTAGATTGTTTGGGCGATCTAGCTAGGCAGATAGTTAAACGGCTAGCTTGGAGATTCGGCACTCTCTTGGATCTTACTGTCACAGGACACCAAGGCGATTTGATGCAAGGCGATTTAGGTGCACATGGATGTTTTCTGACGTCTGTTGCCTTAGTTTGTCCGGCACCGTACACTGTAGACGCCTTCTCTGCGCGAGTCAAGTGTCGTGTTCTTGCTCCATGCTTCTTACTATATTTTTTCCTGTCTACCACAAGTCAAGCGTCCTGGCTGGCTCTTTGCATTGTTGTGTAGCACGGGCGGTCACTCTTCTTTCGCATGCGGGGTGCATCTTTCAGGACCACTCTTGCCTATCAGCCTATGTAGGGCATAAACCCACAAAAAGCTAGTAGTAAATCATAGGACGCATGCATCAGGTCGTCATCTTTTCCGAGAGTAATGTATTCTCAAGCAACAATTTGTTAAGAGAAAAGAGTTCCCACGCTTTATATTATAAAGCACAAACGCCAAGCATCCGACCACACAAAAGTACAAGTTCAGGTACCGGAACAAAATAAACTAGGTTCAGATGGGGGCACAGCCAAACAAGCCCCAAAGAAATAAAAAAGAGAATCTAAATTTATATATTGGCAGACCAGCTTATATAAATTTCAAGACAAGAGAAGAGGCTCCTTAGGGGAACCGAGCTCACTTTATTGAATCAAAAATTGTAGCTTTTGCAATAAAATTAAAACATATTCCCTGTATCTGGGTTTGCAAGACCGATGCAGATTAACGGTCCTTCAATTTGACTAATAAAATGTGTGTACTATGTCATAAAAAAAGTATATGTTCAGAAACCCCATTCTACAAAAAATCCATTGATATATTCCTTTTGACACATGGCACATGCTAGACAAATTAACAACGTAAAAATCCATGCCCGCCTTACAAATCCAGATAGAGGTAACAATGAGTTTTTTTGATTTCTAGTCATGATAGTAAATATATAATGTGAATGAAAAACATATAAATGTTAATCATATGTATGAAAGTGTATGAAAAAGGTTGTGCAATTAAAAAATGTCACTAATTTCAAAACAAAATAAATTAAAAAAAGTTTATACAATGTACAAAAAAATTCATGTAAATCAAAAAAGTGTTTTGTACATTCAAAAAAAGGTACGTCACATTTTAAAAAATCATCACAAGTTAAAAAAAAATTGTCCTTGAAACTTTCATAAAATGTTTGTACAATGTAAAAACATATTGCATAATTCAAAGAAATATTTATTGCCATTCAGAAAATGTTTCAACATGTATTTAAATTTTTAACACATATTTATTTAAACATGTATAAAAAGTATTTGATATGTATAATAAAATATACAACTTGTAAGAAAAAGTAGACATTGTCGAAAAACAAAAAACAAGACAGGCAAAGAAACAAAAGGAGGAGCGAATAAACCAAGTAAACCCAAAAACCCAGGAAAGAAGCAGGGAAAACTAAATTATAAAATAGAAAAACCAAAGAAAACCATTGAATAAACTAAGAAAACCGAAAACACATTGAAGGAAAAAGAATAACCAAAGAAAACAGACAGAAAAAACAATGAAACATAAACAAAATAACAGAAAATGAAAAAGAGAAGAAAAAAACAGAGAAAACCAAACTGAACTGATCAAACGCAGCGACCGGACGCGGATGAACGAAGGCATCGAGCGACACAGCTAATAGGCCGGCGCGTAATCGTCAGGCGATTCCTATAAGGAACGGTATGGGCGAGACATAGCTCTCGCGGCGTTGCCAGGCCAGAAGATTAGCCCAGATCCTATTCCGCGCCTTTCACTAACGGGCGCACACCCGTTGTCGCACCCCTAAAAAAAAAACCGTTGTCGCGATTGAGCCGGCCCATTTTTTTTTTCCTTTTCTGTTTCTAAAAGGCAAAAAAAAAAAAGGTTTCGACAGCCAGGCTTCGATCCCAGGTCGTCGAGGGACTTGAGAACAGTACGCGACAACCACCTGACAACTTAGGTGACAGTGGTTACGAATAGGTTTTTATTCTTTTGATCTTTATTCTGTTTATTGTATATATGTCCTTTTTCCTTTCTTTTTCAACTTCGAGAAACTTTTTTATTCATGATTTTTTTCTGCAAATTGATGAACCTTTTTTAGAGTTGAAAGAACTTGTTTCAAACTTGATGAACTTTTTTTCAAACCTGATAACCTTTTTTCAAATTTCGATGAACTTTTTTCAAATTCGGTGATTTTTTTTCAAATTCGATGAATTTTTTTCAAATTCGATGAACTTTTTTCAAATGCGGTGAACCTTTTTTCATATCCGATGAACTTTTTTCAAATCTGACGAACTTTCTTTTCCAAATTTGATGAACTTTTTTCAAATCTGATGAAATTTTTTCAAATCCGATGAACTTTTTTCAAATCTGGTGAACTTTTTTTTCAAATTTGATAAACTCTTTTCAAATTTTCTGTTCAAAATTGATGAACTTTTTTAAAAATTGTTTTACATTTTGTGTTCGAAACGAATGAAGGAAACCTGCACGAAGGGAAATTACATATGTGTTTTTTAAATTGATGAACTTTTTTTAAATTTGATGATCTTTGTTTGAAAATCGATGAACTTTTTAGTTCATAAACTTTTTTGAATACATGAACTTTTTCAATTTGATGAACCTTTTTTTGTATATGCGAACTTTTTCTGCATGCTCATGAACTTTATTAGTTCATCTGTAATATGTGAACATGTTTTCAAATAATTAGAAAATATAAACGCTACTGTTTAAATTGCAATAAATAGTGCGTCTATGTTTTGATTCTTTAAATATTTCGCGTTGTTATTCACTAGCAGTGAGCTGTTGTAGTGGTTTGCGTCTTTGTGTGGAAACATGACGACACGAGATTGAGTCCCAGCCGCGATGTGTTTTTAACGGTCCTTTTTCGCGTTGCACCTTCCTATCATGGGCTGGCCCATGAAGCCGCTCCTGCGGGCGCCAGTTCCCTTCTGTGGAGTTGAAGGCGCTCAATAGGAGGTCTCGAAGAAAAGGTTGCAACGTTTCAGCAAGACCATAATTACTAGGCCGGATGTGACTTTAAGATTGGATAAAAAAGCCCATTAATCTTAGGTCAGGCCTACCCAAAATGTCCATTCTCGCAGCCTACGTAAATACAAGAACGAAAATAGGTAAATGGACACAATCGGTACGGTGTTTTGTTTGTTAGTGCGCTGCTGTTTGAACGGAGAGGTCGCGAGTTCGAGCCCTCACTTTCGAAATAAGAGTTTTGCTGCAGTCTTTTAACATAAAGAAAAAGAAGAAAACAGGCCGGCCCAGCACGGCGCGGGGGTGTGCGCCCGTTTGCGGCAACAGAAGAAACGGGCGCTTAAGGCGCCCGTTAGGAAATGCCCACTAGGAGGTCTCGAAGAAAATGTTGCATCGTTTCAGCAAGGCCATAATTACTAGGCCCGATGATGTGACTTTAAGATTGGATAAAGAAGCCCATTAATCTTAGGTCAGGCCTACCAAAAATGTCCATGCTACATGGGCGAAAGTCACAAAGCTCATGAGGGCTTGTTGTTGTTTTCCTCAAAAAAAAAGAAAAAAAAAGAGGAGAGCTTGGAAAAGAACAATATTAAAAGAAGAGGATTTATCATGTCTAGTATTATCTTCATCATAAATTACTTGTCCTTGATTTATCTAGATACGGATATACCTATCAGCAAGACCAAGATTGCCTCCACAAATTTAATAAGACAAATAATTAGGAATGGAGGGAGTACTAATATAGTCGGCAAACATTTACGAAGGTGGTAATTTTGTGCAGGCAGGAGGGCCCTACTACGAGGTGAAGAAGGGGAGAAAAGACAGCAAGGTATCCCTGGCTGGCAAGGTGCGCGGCAGCCTGCCCCACGCCAACTCCACCGTGGACGAGCTCCTCCGCGTGTTCGCAGCCAAGGGCCTGGGCGCGGGCGACCTGGTGGCGCTGTCCGGCGCGCACACCATCGGCTTCGCGCACTGCGCCCATTTCCTGGGCCGCCTCTACGACTTCCGCGGCACGCGGCGGGCGGACCCGTTCATGGACGCGCGGCTGGTGAAGGCGCTGCGCATGACGTGCCCCTACACCGGCGGCAGCGCCCGCGCGGTGGTGCCGTTCGACGTGAGCACGCCGTTCCAGTTCGACCACGCCTACTACGCCAACCTGCAGGCCAGGCTGGGCGTCCTGGGCTCCGACCAGGCGCTGTTCCTGGACGCGCGGACCAGGCCGCTCGTGCAGGAGCTCGGCGCGGACAAGGCCCGCTTCTTCCGGGCCTTCGTCGCCAGCATGGACAGGATGGGCTCCATCCGGGTCAAGAAGGGCAAGAAGGGAGAGGTCAGGAAAATCTGTAGCCAGCACTTGTACTAAGTAGATTGCCGGTCGTTAAACGATAGTAGATGATGAGCTGATGATCTCTTCTGTTCACGGCTACACGCGGAGTTTGTTCAGAGTTCAGAAGGGATCTCGTTTCCTCTCTTTCTTGTGTGTGTCATCGTAACCGTAGAGACGTTGTGCTAGCTAGCGCAAGAAATATGTGCAGGTGTGTCTTGTTTTGTTTCCCTTACAGTGCGTTTCAACAGGCGCGCGTGCCGGTTTATAGAAGCACGCACGTCTCCCTGTTAAGTGGGTGACCTCCTATTTGTTTGATAATGGTAGGATCCGATTGCAGAAGCAGACGTGTTACGGTGAATGATATCTGACTTTTGTTTCTGCTGACATTCTTAATGATGTGACATGAGTCTATTCTGGACTTGAAGAAGAAAATACGAGCCCGCTCTGAAAGAAAATGTGTCTTCTTAGTGCATCTCCAACAGCAACCCTATTTTAGGTACCAGAAAACTTTTAGAGTAAAATTTGAGACACGCAAAATTACTTTTAGGGCGCTCTAAAAAATGTTCATCCCCAACAACTGTCCTGAAATATGGCACTTCAAACATGCAAATAATTGTTTTTTAGCATCCAAACATTGCAGAGTTCACTTCGAACATTGAAAGTTTTGAACATTCGAACATTGCATAGATTAAACAAACATCCAAACTACTAGATCACCAAACATTACTATGATCGACTCCAACGGACACCTTACAGGTTGTCCTAGTCAATGTCACCGGACTCGTCACTCTCGTTGCTGGGCTCAACCTCGTCGCCGGACTCGAGCTTTATCACATTGGAGGGGCCATCCTCGTCCTCCGTATTGTGCTCCGCCTCCTTGCACTTGTTGCCCTCTTCCATAACCACTCAGTCTCCGCATGCACAAGGTGCGGGTTTTTCACAGCGAACCTCGCCATCGCCGCCTCATCGCTCTCCCGGGTGTCCCTCTGCTCAAGGAGGATGGGGGTCGCCCCCTTTGGCAGGTGGAGCTGAAAGGGCATTTCCCTCCCTAAGTGTTTTTGAGTTTATGACAACGCAATTTACCGACTAACCTTATGCTTGAGCTATACACGCATATCTATTTGGCACAAGACAGGTTAGATACCCCTCTGAATGGAAATGACCAAAGGCAGCATTTCCGATGTTTTTATTTCTTTGGTCGTAGGAAATTCGTACAATTAAGAGGGGTCTGCGTTGGGAGGTATGGTGTAATCAAATATGTACACAAATCTTGTATTGCACCTACATAGCCCTCCCATCCGTTTTCGAGGAGAGAACTCAAATCTAACTTGCACTGAATATATGCACCCGGTTGTACCGCTGGGGCAGCGGCTATACTGCTCCCTTGTGGAGTTGAACAACCACTGCCCACCCAAGCGGTTGTACTGCGTACTCGAGGGTTGTACCGCTCTAGCCTTGGAGCGGCACCACCGCCCTATGTACCGGTCCAACAGCCGCTTGGGGGTCCATTCTTCTCGGGTTCCAAGCAGTACTGGGGCGGTGGGCCGGCTGTTGTTCCGCTTATTCCATGAATCGCCGGTACAACTGGGTAGCCGGGCGGTTGTGCCTCTTCGGTTTCCACGACCAGGCCTATTTGGCTTGAGCGGCCGTAGCACTTTGTATGTCTTGGCCTAGCCTATGGGACTTGAGTGGTTGTACCGCTCCCATGGGCATTTCTACATATGTTTTTTGGTTGCAACAGTTGGATTTGAGAGGGACTATAAAATGAGGGGGTACTTCCTCCTCCCACCTACATTTTGCCTCGCTCTCTCCTCCATTAATGTGCAAAGGTTATTCTCGTCTGATCTCATTCTAACCAACCAAATTTGTTGATTTGCTAGGATTGGGGGAAGAGACCTATATCTACACATCCACCAAAGGAAATGTGATCCGTTCTCATTCTATTATGGATCTTGTTACCCTTCGGTGTTTGGACACCCTAGACAGAAGAGGTTACCTTGGAGCCATATTCCATTGTGGTGAAACTTTGTGGTGGTGTTGGGAGGCTCCAATTAAGTTGTGGAGATATCCCCAACCTTATTTATAAAGGTTTCGGTTGCCGCCTTCAAGGCCACCGCTAGTGGATTCACGACACCTTACATCGTGCGAGGGCGTAAAGAGAGTAGGATAAGCCATTGTGGTATTTCGGGTGCATCGTGTCTCCACACCACTTCAATAAAGACATACCTCCCATAATGGAGGAACTTCGGAAAACACATCCCCATCTCCACTTGCGGTTACTTCTATCATTTACTTTCGTTGTGCAAGCTTATAATGTGCTGCTTATTTTCTTGCTTGTACTTGTTATTGAGTTTGTCATATAGGTTGTCCACCTAGTTGCATATCTAGACAACCTATTTTTTAGCCTAAACTTTGGAAGATAAGTTAAAAATTCTTGGTCGCCTATTCACCCCCTCTAGCCGACCATACCGATCCTTTCAAGGACTCAGTGGTAAGTGGCGGCTCGACGAACTCCACATCCGCATTGATACGTCTCCAACATATCTAAAATTATGAAGTATTCATGCCATGTTTACAACAATTTTATATGGTTTGTCACACCTTTCTATGATTTAAATGAAACTAACCCGGACTGACGTTTTTTCAGCAGAACTGCAATGGTGTTGTTTTTTATGCAGAAATAAAAGTTGTCGGATTGAGGTAAAAAATTACGGTGATCTTTTATGGACAAAAAGAGACCTCTAAAGCTTCAAGGAAGGACCAGAAGAGCCACGAGGACACGACAAGCTCAAGGGGCGCGAGCCTCACTAGGGCGTGCTTACCGAGCTTGTCGCTCCCTCGTGATTCCCCCTGACGTGAAACCGACACAAAAAAATTCCTATAAATATAGAAAACCCAAGAAATAAACCTAGAACTTCCACGCCTCCGCTGCAAGCCTCTATATCGAAGAGATCCCATCTGGAGCCCTATTACGGCACCCTGCTAGAGAGGGAAATACTCACCAGAGGCCATCTTCATCATCCCGGTGGTCTCCATGATGAGTCTGTAGTTCACCCTCGGGGCTGGGGGTATGTACTGGTAGCTATGTGTTTGATCTCTCTATCTCTCGTGTTCTTGATTTGGCACGATCTTAATGTAACCATGGACTTTATTAATATAGTCGGATCATATGGTGTTCTTCCCTCTCTATCTTGTTGTGATGAATTGAGTCTTGCACTTTGAGGTTTCGTTATGTTGGATTGAATATTGGATTTGAGATCACTTGATATATCTCTTGCATGTGGCTACTCGCGGTGAAAATGGGGTATTCTATTTAGTTACTTGATGTATGTTTTGTTATTCAACTTGCGAATTCCCTTGGTGACATTGGGGTAATCTAGGCACATAGGTTGATACACGTTTTCGTCCTACGTTCTCTGATATAAACTTTGGAGTGATTCTTTGTCGCACGTTGAGGGATTGTTATATGATTCAATTATGTTAGAACTGTTGAGAGATTGCACCAGTGCAAGTATGAACCCCGGGCCTTGTTTCTAAGCATTGCAATACCGTCTGTGCTCCGTTTTATCACTCGCTACCTTTCTGTTTTGATATTTCCATATTACAAAAACCTATATCTACTATCCATACTACACTTGTATCACCATCTCTTCGCCGAACTAGTGCAACTATACAATTTACCATTGTATTAGGTGTTGGGTAACGTAGTAATTTTAAAAAATTTCCTATGCACGTGCAAGATCATGGTGATGCATAGCAACGAGAGGGGAGAGTGTTGTCTACGTACCCTCGTAGACCGTAAGCGGAAGCGTTATGACAACGCGGTTGATGTAGTCGTACGTCTTCACGATCCGACCGATCCAAGCACCGAACGTACGGCACCTCCGAGTTCAGCACACGTTCAGCTCGATGATGATCCCCGGACTCCGATCCAGCAGGGTTTCGGGGATGAGTTCCGTCAGCATGACGGCGTGGTGACGATGATGATGTTCTACCGACGCAGGGCTTCGCTAAGCACCGCAAGGATATGACCGAGGTGGAATATGGTGGAGGGGGGCACCGCACACGGCTAAGGAACGATCACGAAGATCAACTTGTGTGTCATGGGGTGTCCCCCTGCCCCCATATATAAAGGAGCAAGGGAGGAGGAGGCCGGCCCTAGGAGGGGGCGCACCAAGTGTGGAGTCCTACTAGGACTCCCTAGTCCTAGTAGGATTCCACCTCCCATATGGAATAGGAAAAGAGGAAGGGAAAAGGAGAAGGAAGGAAGGGGGCGCCCCCCTTCCCTAGTCCAATTCGGACCAGACCAAGGGGAGGGGTGTGGCCACCCTTGTGGCCCTTTTCCTTCTTTCCCGTATGGCCCAATAAGGTCCAATACGTATTCCCGTAACTCTCCGGTACTCCGAAAAATACCCGAATCACTCGGAACCTTTCCGATGTCCGAATATAGTTGTCCAATATATCGATCTTTACGTCTCGACCATTTCGAGACTCCTCATCATGTCCCCAATCTCATCCGGGACTCCAAACGCCTTCGGTACATCAAAACTCATAAACTCATAATAAAACTGTCATTGTAACGTTAAGCGTGCGGAACCTACAGGTTCGAGAACTATGTAGACATGACCTAGAACTATTCTCGGTCAATAACCAATAGCGGAACCTGGATGCTCATATTGGCTCCTACATATTCTACGAAGATCTTTATCGGTCAAACCGCATAACAACATACGTTATTCCCTTTGTCATCAGTATGTTACTTGCTCGAGATTCGATTGTCCGTATCTAATACCTAGTTCAATCTTGTTACCGGTAAGTCTCTTTACTCATTATGTAATGCATCATTCCGTAACTAACTCATTAGCTACATTGCTTGCAAGGCTTATAGTTATGTGCATTACCAAGAGGGCCCAGAGATACCTCTCCGACAATCGGAGTGACAAATCCTAATCTCGAAATACGCCAACCCAACATGTACCTTCAGAGACACCTGTAGAGCTCCTTTATAATCACCCAGTTACGTTGTGACGTTTGGT